AATACTTTTAAGGCCCTATAAAATCTGAGGTATGCTTAAATGACCTTGTTGGCCCCTTGTGATAGGGCCTCGACTACACAAAATTTATCATACACAGTCTTTAATTTAATCTTAGATTTAAATAAATTAAAATGTTCTTTAAAAATAATTAATTAATTAATTTAAAACAAAAGAATTTCACATAATTGAAATTATATTAAATAATTTCGTATATTAATTATAATTATTTTTTAGTGTAAAAAAAAATATTATATTTTAACTCTATTTGGATTTAAATTAAAGTTAATTGTATAATTTTTTTATTATAATTAATTTAATTCATAAAAAGCTTAATGCTATTTAAAACGGTATATCCAAATATTTCTAATTAAATAATTAAATTAATCTAATTATAGACAGGAACCTCCATCTTTTATGTTTCCATTAGAAACCGTTGTTCAGAGATATTTTCTAAATTTAATTTCGAATTTAAAACATATTTTAAATAATAAAATTCAGAAAATTAATGATTTAAATGGCGTAATAGTTTAATTTTTAAGTATTGAATATTAAGCACCATATTAATGTACAGATCTATAATATACAGGTTGATCTATGGACCTATGTACTGTACAGTGTGTGTATAGATGCATATGGTCGAAAGTCTAGTGTGTTAGAATTAATCCAATAGTAAAAAAATATATTTAAAATTTTAATACGAATATTCTAAATGGACTTATGCAACAAGCATACACTAAATCGAATTTTGTTAACTTTATTAGACGTTATTAATTTAATTGATTGCTATGTTTCACTTTCATCATATCTCTGCTCCCGAAATAGCGCTACTGTCTCTCTATTTACTAACATAACCAAACTAATATTTGAATATTCAATTAATTAACCGCGTTATTACAAATAAAGTAAGTGAAGGAAGCCTTGAAGGTAAATCAATGTTATCAAAGGAAAAAAATCTTTCTGCCATCTTAACCCCAAATCCATTGGATTTCCTTCTATCTCTTCGATTTTATAATCGATTAAGCAATAATTTTCGCATGAACTTCCTTATAGGACTTCTCTTTTTTTTTCCTTCTAACCCCCATTAAAAATCATTATTTTATGAAATTTTAACATCTTGTACCTTGAGGATTTTAAGTAAGATTTTACTCTTAATTAATTTTCGAGGTGTGTATAATTATTTATTGACATCATTCCACGCGTAGGAAATAAAATTGTGTTTTAAACGCGAAAAATTTATTAACAGTAAAAAATTAAGTGACTTGTCCGCATCGTCATTTTCCTTCATAATAAGTTTGATGCGATGAGACGTGTAGTGTGCGGCGCGAAGAGAAAAACTGGTAAATGCCAATAACTTCCGTTTCCTTTTCTCAATCACTTTAAATATAGTTGGATATCGGTAGTAAGATATATGAATTTCGATTCGAAAAACATTAAAAATGGAAATTTACAGCTGCTAGATCGTACTGTAGATACGGACAAACAGCCAAAACTATAAAAATTAGTCAAACTGTATTCGAAACTATTCAAAAAGTGTAATTTTATCAAGATTTAATAAGATTCTCTCGTTAAAAAGCATTCCCCCTGTGTGTATACTATTAATTTATTCATTTTGAGGGAGGATCCGGAACATTCGCGGGAGAAAAGGGAAAATTCAGGGTAGGATAGGGGAAATTCGAGGTAGGTTAGGGGAAATTCGAGGTAGGAGAGGGGAAATTCGAGGTAGGAGAGGGGAAATCGAATAGGGAAAACTTGAGGGAGGATAGGGAAAATTTATACTAAAAATAATGTACTATTTATAATTAACTTAGCATGTTTTTGTATTTTAAATCTATTATTATTTTTTAAACTTCATCATTATTAAATTCTTCGTATAATTTTACATCGCTACCAGTTTCTATTTTAGTAACCATCTACTTACTTAACTGAAATTTACTCTAACTGGATATCTAATTAATACCCTTAATTACCTTCATTATGTATTAATTATTCTATAATTATTTATTTAGCTGAAAATTGCCAGAAATGTTAGCTTTGTATCATAAACAAATACAGACCAATAATACAATATTCATATAAACGCTCTCGAATCGACATTGATCATTACAGTCGAACCTCCGTTAAGCGGACACCTCTAAACAGCGGCCATGTTTTTTGGGAACTTATTTGATCAAAGATGCACACAGATAACCTTCAAACAATGGTTATTTTTTATGTTTTCGTTGGTGCCCATTGTTTGACTATATTATGATATACAGCCCTAAATACTGTATAATAATATCATAATACAGTCAAACCTTTATATATATAATCTACACTCCTATATAGAATTTTTTAATAATTCTGTACGTTCAGTCTACAGCTCTAGACAGGTATAACAGAACTTTATACATAACAATACACAGGATTTAGTGATGATGTAGGTTGAATCTGTGGCATCAAAGAAAAATCCTGTTTGATCATTTTCGCTTCTATGCAAGAGACGACAGTAATTGTTTTTTTTTTTTACGTTCTGACATTGAAATTTTAGTTTTAAGAGAAGATAAATTCTACAAATTTGATTAGTTTCAACTACATAAGCCACATAATTTGTGAATAATGCCGACATTTATTAGACAATACTAAACACTTAAACAGCAGATACTAGCTTCAAACTAGTATTAAATATCACAGTTTAAAGGGATTATTAACTGATACACGATGTAGCGAAACACTGTATTAAATTACGTTCAACAAATTTACCTGTAAACTACGCCACAATTATTAAATTAAGCGTACAGCAGCGTAACCACGCATTGTAAACGTTATCTGTCTGTTAAATGGGGGCATTTTGGTGTAAAAACGTGTTTATTATACAAAAACAATAGATTAAATGGGTAAATTAGTAAATTAATATTATAAGAATATCAAAATAAGTAACAATCTCCTCATGAAATACTCGTATAGACATCACCTAACTGTTAAATGACTTCTGACCTGTGTTCAGTAACACGTCACTGGTCTTTAATATTTTTAAATGTTTAAAATACGGTTAACTTTAACACCACGAAAAAATTGACACTTTGGCAAAGAGTTTTGTGTATTAGGGCCATCGATGACATTAAATTTTGGCGGTTAAAGGTCAAAGGGGTGGGGAGATAGTAGTAGTCGCGTGTCACATCTCGAGCAGGGTCGGACTTGACGAAGACTTTACTGGTTATTAGCATTTAAAATGTTTTATAAAACTCATCTTCACCCTCAAAATTAAGCTTTTTGTCACTTTATATTAAATTAATAATATAAAACGTTTTTAAAACAAAATCTCCTAACAGATGGCGCCACATACAATTTAACATTTTTGCCGGGAAAGTTATGCAACTCGTTGTTGGAATTTCTGTTTAGTAATTTATGAAGACGATCCGCTTACGAGTCTTCGCTTTCGTTTTACCGGGAGAGTGCTATTCGGTAGGGCGCTACATTGAGGTTTTTCTTCAACTAGTTGTTCACTTAATTAAATTTAACTCACTTAAAAACACGCTCACAAACTTTAACTAACTTTACAATTTTTACAACTTTGGCATGTAGAACTTTGGCCTTTAAACTCGTGTAAAGTAAATATATCCATAGAATGCTGATAAAAATCAATTTATTTTCACTATTTTCACTTCTTATAATCTAAAAGTTTTCCTTTCTAAATCAATAGAATCGTATATAAATCAGTTAAAACTCCTGAAAGATAACATTATCGATTCACATAATTCGATTTAACTCTCACTTCTTCTGTATATGTATAGGCTTATAAGTATCTCCATTAATATTCAATAAATTAATTGGTTTCACTGAATTTTTCTATATTTTTGTAATAAAATTAATAAAAATTAAGATAAAAACAAGCGAATAAATTTAATTTATTTTATAATTTTTAATAAGAAATTTATATTGAAGTGAATACAATTTCGTGTATTAAAATTTGCAATTTTAGTCGACTGTTTTAAAACTACTATATTATTAATAATTTAATTAAATTTTATTTTTAAATCAATTTTTTGGTGCAAAATTTTAAGTTTTTTTCAGTAAATGTTTGTTTTTTTCTGGAAAGTTTGTATTTTTTCTGGATTCTTGTATCTTTTCTGGGGGTTTTTCTGTGTTATTTGTATCTTCTCCAGAGTTTTTCTGTATTCTTTGTATCTTTTCTGGAGTTTTCTTGTATTCTTTGTATCTTTTCTAGAGGTTTTTCTGCATCCTTGTGTCTTTTCTGTGGTTCATTTTCTGAATTCTTTTAATCTTTTCCGGATTTTTTTCTTGAAACTATATTTTTCTGGATCTTCTATATCTTTTCTGGTGATTTTTCTACATTCTTTGATTCTTTTCCGGACTTTTTCTGGATTCTTTGTATTTTCTGCATTTTTTCTGAAACTTTCTACTTTTTCCTTTTCTTCTTCTATTAAGCGGTGTATTAAATATTCTCGTAAAGTTAAATTGTAAATCTCTTACAATTTTATAGTGAAGTTTAAGTGAAAATTGAATTTTCTATCTGTTTTAAAGTGGATTTTTTTATTACTTACAATTGGATTTAATTCGGAATTCTGTATTTGATCGTTCGAAAGTTAATTGTTTTTCTTTAAAAATAACAAAAAAAACCAACTTAAATTAAAAAAATAGTCTTAAAATATATAAAGTAAAATTAATTTTTAAATCAAATTTATTAACAAAAATTAAAACACGATGCTTTGCAGTGAAGCATTCGCGTTAGTAGCTGCTTTGTAGTGAAGCACAGAAAAAAACTTACCATTTTGTTGGAGAAATTAATAAATTTATATCTTAAAATAGTTTCTATTTTAATTTAAACTTTGTTAACTAATTTATTCGAATTCTGATTGGGCAAAATATCACTAATGGATAATTGTAATTGGTCCAATTAGCTGTGTAATTGCTGAACTTNATCAACAAAGTTCTCAGCCAAACTTAACAAAAAAAAAATTATATATAGGCCTATATATATGAAATTTTGTAAATATTTCCAGCAACAAAATATGACGACGACACAGAAGTAGCAGTGAAGGAGTTGGATTTGTTATTCCAACATCTTTTTCCCTTCGTGCCACCTTCAGGGATAACAATTTGGATAAATAGACAACCTTACATTATCAGGAGACGGGATAAAGATGATCGGATGTATAATGCCATGGAACAACAAAAAAAGCGTGGACCAGACTGTATGAGGAAATGCATAGAGCAGGGTGTACTTCATCCTGTACAATGTCACTCTTTATGTTAAATCCTAGACGTTGGCAGGTGTTCACCCAAGTCAGAAAGGTGAGTTTTCTTTAGGTTTACTTGAGTATTCCCAATAGAATTTTATATTGTGTAGGCTAGAAGCGAGTAAAGGACAAGCATAAAGGTTATTTTTGTCTCGTAGAAACTGTCTTAAAATAAAATAACTGTCGTAGAAACTTTTAAAAAACTAAAATAAAATAGGTAATTAATATTATATATTAATATAATATATTAATANGTTATCATCGTCAAATATTTATTATTTTTGTTTTTTTAACGAAAAATAATTCACGTGTGGATTTTTTAATCAGTTAAAATTTTATTTTTATCACAAAGATAATTGTTATTGCATTTTTTAAATTTTTTTCGGTTTTACTTTCCCCCTTTTCACTATAAAATATGTACATTTCTTTATATTATTAAGTAATAATAGCAAACAACGTACAATAATTGATACACGCCTGATAAAATGTGTACATTTCTTTTAAATTGTTACGTAATAATGATAAACGAAATGGATAATTGTTACGAAATTGTTTATTTTACTTGTAAATATAAAATGAGGAGGTGAAGATTTGACGTAATTGTTATTTAAATTGATATCTTTAATTGCTATGATAATTGTTACATTAAACCGTAATTGATTGTTACAATGTTAATTACTGTAATAAAGTATGCGTATTTATTTAAATACACTGTTACTTAACAATAGTAAAGAACTAAAAATAATAGTTACGCAACAATAAACAGACATATAACGATTATTTCAAATTTAAATATTCTTAGTTTAGAGCCTTTTCCTAATTTCAAAGTTGCCTAAATTTTTCAGGGGTCTCACACACTTATAAACACAGTTATCCATACTCCTAGTTTATTATTTTACTAGGATTCAAGCATCCTAGGGGCTTTGCGTTGCATAAATTTATATAAAAAAGGAATGGTTGTGTTTGATGGGATACGGCAACGCCCTTCAGGCAATCACTTGGCCTGAGGCACTGCCAATGGAGTGCCACTAGGGAGTAATTTCTAAGGGAAACTGCCCTATTTAGGTGTTATACGCGTGAAGAAAATCGAAAACTGCAGGCCAGTCTGTTACTGAGATGAGAACCCGCGACCAACTACCATGTGTTTTATCCACTCTGCCATTGGTGGGCATTATATAAAAGGGAGATCGCTTGTTGAATTCGCGATCCCCCTTTTATATAATGCTTAAAATTACCAAGTTGCCGAATTAAATTTTAGTTAATTACATTTAAAACCGTTTTTTAATAGGAAAAAGAAACTTTTTTTTAACTATCATAAAACCTTTCTCTTCATTTTCTGTACGATCTTTTTCACTAAATTTAATTTTCTTTCTCCGTTTTTCTTAATATATTTTTTTATACAGTGAAATGTTTAACGTAATTTATATATATATACACGTATACACTTCTAAAAATCATAAAATTTCTTATTATGTTATACATTTTTATTTCTGTTTATGCAAGTACAGGTACTATACGTAGGGGGATTCTTTGTGCTATATCACTGATTTTTTTAAATTGAATTTACCGCGAACTTTTTCAGTCAATTTCAACAATTACCATTTTGAAAGATGGAATTCTTAATGGAATTCATCCTTCCTTTTTTCATTCTCTTTCCCTTCTTTCATCCATAAGCTATTGTATGAGAGAAAGTTCAATCATACTCGTGTAATCTATAAGTGACTGGAGGCCATTGAGTTTAATGCTGTAAAGTAAATATATGCCTATTTTTATTCTAAGAATTTCTTTTAATTTTCCTAAATTTCTGGTTCAGTAACCCCGATTCTTCTTCATCTCTTATACAATTTAAATTTTTCGATCTTTGTTTTGCAATTTAATATTTAAACTCGATTTTATTCTTCTTAAAGTTTAAACGACTATTGCTGGTGAGTATTTATTTAGTTTTTTTAATTTTAAATATGGTTAATGCTTTAATTTAAGCGAGATGACTAAGACAGCCTGCCAGTGGCAGAGTGGAAAATACCATTGAAAACTGGCAGTTGATCCGGGGTTCGAGCCTCACCAACGGCCAAATGGAGTTTTCCAGGTTTTTCTGTCGTGTCTAATTGCCGAACAGAAGCCAGTTCCCCACAGAAAGAATGCCAGACACGAGCCGGTTCCCATAAAAAGTAGAAACTCCTCTCTTAGCATATCGTACACTTGTTGCGTTGCCTTAATCCTACAACTAAGAGTACGAAAATTCATATGATAACGTTGCGTATATGTTTGTACATGCAAATAATTGCTTTATTTAAAGACTTTGTTGCAAAAACTATGGACTAAACACAGATAAAAAGTTGTTTAAAGGGACTTTATGGAAAATTTGCTTACTCAAAATTCTTCTAAAATATAACTTCTGGGCTCATTTAATATTAACATACTTCTTTAATTAATGTTTAATTCTGTAAGCAAAACTGTAATTTATACAGGTAATGTTAAGTTATATCCGTTAGTAGATTTAAGACCAGGGACATTGCTAGAAGCTAGAAGTGTGCGAAACTCAAAGTAGATAAACCGATCTGAGACTCGTATTGTGACTTACATAGATAACGTTATATGCAAAATATAATGCTTGGAAGCATATGCGTACGCTGGGAAGACAAGTAGGTCCTCACTGGATCAAGCCTTAAGCCTTCTTGCAGCCTTATTTATTTTAATTCAGTTCTGATAGTCTTTATAGTTGTGCTTACTAAAGAAACCACCCTTAGCTGTGGAGGTTCGCTGCACTCGCCTAACTCTACCACCACTACGTCACACAAAGGCACAGAAGTAGTATAATTTCGAACAATTATTATGATAGTGGGAGTAAGGTAAAGTTGCAACTTTTCCAAGGGGTACCCTCAGAAAAGTTTCACCTCACCAAGAGTATACTTAGAGCCACCCCTGTTTTATTATAAATTTTAAAATTATTGTAGCCAATTAAATTGTACGTAATCACATCTTCAATCACTTAAATTCTATTTAAAATAATACTCTTTAAATAAATATTTATCCGTAATTCTATAAAAACTTACCTTTTTACCATAAATCTAAGCTTTCTTAATATATTTACTAACCATATATCTTGTCATCCTTAAGATACTTCGAGATATTTAAGTGAATAACTATTTTAAAGGCCTTAAACTAGATAAAATCCCCTAGTCTTCACCCTTCAGGAGCATGAAACAAAAGTAATAAATACTGTAATATTGTTAAGTGTATCTAAGATATCTTCCATACAAATGATTCTGTAGAAGAGAAATGTGTGTATCTCGAAAATCCAATATTTTAGAATATATTTATCTTTATTTTCTACAGATAAATGTACATTTTATAGGTAAAAAATCATGCAATAGATATTGATAGAGGGGTAGTCACTAGGCTTATTCGGTTCTATTACCATCCCTCTTTATGTAGACCTATATATCAATATTTACCATTTTGTCTTCTTTAGAAAAAATTCCTATTCCGGCCTATATATAAATAGCTGCCTTATATTTGCTTTTGGACTCTTTTATCTAGGCCCATTAACATAGAAGAGCCCCAAATTTTAATGCATTAAATTAAAAAATACGATTTAAAATTGATGTAAATTAAAGTGTCCTTTGTGTATAAATCTATTTTTATTGATTTTTATGGTTTTCGAGGACGGCGAAGCCCTTTATTCGTGACTTAGGTAAATTTACAGGCCCTACGTTTGCGACTAGGATGGATTTACAAGCCTTATATTAGTGACTAAGCTAGGTTTACGGGCCCTATATTTGTAACTAGGGTAGATTTACAGATAAGGGAAACACGCTATAGTTTAGGTCCTCACCTTATAAAAATACCGTTTAAATTCATTGTTATTCGGTGAAGGAGAGGGCCTCATATAAGGCTACAAATATACATCTAGCCTCATTGACTAGCGCGCTTCAACCTCTCTCCTCTCACTACCCATTAACACAAGAAAATTAAATTTAATTAAAGTATAAAAATTGAGACGTTTTTAAAGTTAATAAAGGAAATTAAATTCAAACTATCAATTCCTAATTAAAATTCTTGTTTTTCTCCAGCCACTTTTACCCATCAGAAATTAGCTTCAAGCATAATTAAGTGGGATCCTACAATTGTTTACTGATGATTATAAAAACAATTTTAACTGCCGATTCCAACAAATTGTTTTATTTTGCTACTTTAAAATTATATTTAAACTGTTCGAACTGAAAGTCAATTTATTTGTTTCACGTAGGACAAAAATAGAATAAAACCAGACTTGTTTCTTTAATTTTAGTTACCAAGCTGCAAAGGTAAAGGGGGAAAAACAAAAGAAATTCCGGCAATGAGTTGTGTAACTTTCCCGGCAAAACAGCTATACTTAATAACTGGTTGCAGAAAACCTCGATGTAGCGCCCTCGCGAACAGAACTACCCCGGTAAAGCGACAGTGAATACTCGTAAACGGATCTTCTTCATAAATTACTAAACAGAAAAATCTAGCAACGAATTGCTTAACTTTCCCGGCAAAAAAACGTTAAAATTGCGTGTGGCCCATCTGTTGGGAGATTTTATTTTAAAAACTTTTTATATTATTAATTTAATATAAAGTGACAAAAAGCTTAATTTTGAGGTTAGAAATGAGTTTTATANTTAGCATAAAAAAAAACTATTCTTACTGTTGTAATTATTTAAAAAAGGCTTAATAAAAATTAAAATATAAAAATTAATATTAAGAAAACTTGTATAAAACGGAATTCGCTTCTATGAAAGATTTCTCCTTTAAAAAATTGCAGTCATTATAAATAAATTTTCTTATTTTAAACTTCTCTAACTTAATCTTTTCGAACAGCATCTTAAGAAACAATTAATTAGTGAATAAAATGACTTGGTAGTCGACTTCTTATCATTGCCTCTTAAATCCTAGTTTCAAGGATCTTTTATCAGGAACAATCGCACGATAGACACAGTCGCTTGTGTTTTACTGGTTACTGATCGTAAACATTTAACAATAAACAGAAGAAATAAATTCTATGTCCTATAAATAAATAGATTTAAAGGTTAGATCTTTCTTCTTCAATCGTGCTTATCAGTCAAATAATTTCTAATGCTTTTTGCTTTTTTAATGTCGATTAACGGCCGTAAACACTAAAATACACTACACAGAATCGAACCTATTCATTTGAACGATTATTTTTTCACAAAGTTTTAATCGAGCTGAAGATTTTCATAGTTTCAACTGTAAAAATTTCATTAAAAATATATAACTTATACATAAATTGAGTGATCAATAATTTATAAATCAAAATAATTACTTAAGATCATAAATAAAATCTACAGAAGTAGAAGGAATTCTATAAAGAAATGTCTCTAGTTTATCCTGGCATATTTTAATAACTAATTATAAATTAATTTAGCCTTTATGAAGTATTAATATTTCAGTAACTATACGGCATTAGTTACAAAAATTTATGTTTATAGTCTTATTGCAGGAAGTGAAGAAGTAGCTAAAAATGGCCCACCACAATTGAAGTTGGTCGTGGGTTCATATTTCACCAATGGGCTGACCATGTGGAGTCTTCACATGTCTAACACCTAAGGCTAGTTTCCCCCATAGAATATCCTCCCGGGAGGCACACCACTCCCTTGGCAGATCGCCCACGTGTTGCGTTGCCTTCTTCTACCAATCCAATCCACTAAAAGTGACCAAAAGAAAAATTATGAGAAGATACTATATTCAGAACGTATCGTTCTCATAATGCATGTGATAGCTTCAGTATCCTCATTTTCAAGTAAAATATCATGTTATACATTTTTTCACCTTATGAACAGCACATCTTTTTCGCCCATTATGAGCCTGAGTAAACTCATCATAAATTCAAGAAGGCTCACAATAAGTGCAACCGGGACTGCACTTATTGTAAACAGTGCCCGAAATATCTGGTTGAATTTCTGACCAGACTCGAACCTGGATCCTCCATAGACGCTGGCTCTATTGATGATTAATGATTGACGCCTTTATCACCTCAGCCATCCAGCAGGGACGTACTGTACTACATATATACTGTAAAAAGTGATTTAAAAACATGCCAAATTGAACATTAAATCTAAAATTTATAAAAAAAATTTTAAAATTAAAAGTGAAATATAAAAATACAGTAGTCAACAAATACTGTATTATATATTAACAATTGCATTCAACAGTTTTCCCAGAATAATAGTAAAGTCTTTGTTTATAGTCTAAATACACGAAGGAAAATAGTTCTTACATATTAGAAAATTACACATTTAAACCGTTATAATCTATTCAAAATTTCTGAAATTTATACAAGAAACTTGAAATTATATAAAACACGAAAAACGTCACACATCATATGACGTAACGTTTTGAATTTTCCAATTGTTTAGCTACAGCGGCGAAGTGATACTGCATTCAAGACGCAGTACACCCGCTCCATTCTTATCGAGAAATAATATAAAATGCCAAATTGACAATTTCGATTCCGTTTTATACGGTTTTCTCTTGGTCTTTTACTCATAAATTAATTATTTTTTAATCTTTTCTTTCTATATTTTCAGATTGTTATCAGGTCATTTGTTCGGAGTAAAACCCTACATATCATTTGGACAATATTATAGTGTTTAGTCAAGTTGGTTTTTGGATCCTATAAATTGTTGTTTAAATGATTTTCTTGATTTATTTTTGATTGCCAAAAATAATTAGACTTAAATAATAATAATAATAATGAGAATTACAAGAATTATTTTCTTGCATACCTTTCTACTTAATTTATTTCTCTATACAAANAAATGGCGTAATAGTTTAATTTTTAAGTATTGAATATTAAGCACCATATTAATGTACAGATCTATAATATACAGGTTGATCTATGGACCTATGTACTGTACAGTGTGTGTATAGATGCATATGGTCGAAAGTCTAGTGTGTTAGAATTAATCCAATAGTAAAAAAATATATTTAAAATTTTAATACGAATATTCTAAATGGACTTATGCAACAAGCATACACTAAATCGAATTTTGTTAACTTTATTAGACGTTATTAATTTAATTGATTGCTATGTTTCACTTTCATCATATCTCTGCTCCCGAAATAGCGCTACTGTCTCTCTATTTACTAACATAACCAAACTAATATTTGAATATTCAATTAATTAACCGCGTTATTACAAATAAAGTAAGTGAAGGAAGCCTTGAAGGTAAATCAATGTTATCAAAGGAAAAAAATCTTTCTGCCATCTTAACCCCAAATCCATTGGATTTCCTTCTATCTCTTCGATTTTATAATCGATTAAGCAATAATTTTCGCATGAACTTCCTTATAGGACTTCTCTTTTTTTTTCCTTCTAACCCCCATTAAAAATCATTATTTTATGAAATTTTAACATCTTGTACCTTGAGGATTTTAAGTAAGATTTTACTCTTAATTAATTTTCGAGGTGTGTATAATTATTTATTGACATCATTCCACGCGTAGGAAATAAAATTGTGTTTTAAACGCGAAAAATTTATTAACAGTAAAAAATTAAGTGACTTGTCCGCATCGTCATTTTCCTTCATAATAAGTTTGATGCGATGAGACGTGTAGTGTGCGGCGCGAAGAGAAAAACTGGTAAATGCCAATAACTTCCGTTTCCTTTTCTCAATCACTTTAAATATAGTTGGATATCGGTAGTAAGATATATGAATTTCGATTCGAAAAACATTAAAAATGGAAATTTACAGCTGCTAGATCGTACTGTAGATACGGACAAACAGCCAAAACTATAAAAATTAGTCAAACTGTATTCGAAACTATTCAAAAAGTGTAATTTTATCAAGATTTAATAAGATTCTCTCGTTAAAAAGCATTCCCCCTGTGTGTATACTATTAATTTATTCATTTTGAGGGAGGATCCGGAACATTCGCGGGAGAAAAGGGAAAATTCAGGGTAGGATAGGGGAAATTCGAGGTAGGTTAGGGGAAATTCGAGGTAGGAGAGGGGAAATTCGAGGTAGGAGAGGGGAAATCGAATAGGGAAAACTTGAGGGAGGATAGGGAAAATTTATACTAAAAATAATGTACTATTTATAATTAACTTAGCATGTTTTTGTATTTTAAATCTATTATTATTTTTTAAACTTCATCATTATTAAATTCTTCGTATAATTTTACATCGCTACCAGTTTCTATTTTAGTAACCATCTACTTACTTAACTGAAATTTACTCTAACTGGATATCTAATTAATACCCTTAATTACCTTCATTATGTATTAATTATTCTATAATTATTTATTTAGCTGAAAATTGCCAGAAATGTTAGCTTTGTATCATAAACAAATACAGACCAATAATACAATATTCATATAAACGCTCTCGAATCGACATTGATCATTACAGTCGAACCTCCGTTAAGCGGACACCTCTAAACAGCGGCCATGTTTTTTGGGAACTTATTTGATCAAAGATGCACACAGATAACCTTCAAACAATGGTTATTTTTTATGTTTTCGTTGGTGCCCATTGTTTGACTATATTATGATATACAGCCCTAAATACTGTATAATAATATCATAATACAGTCAAACCTTTATATATATAATCTACACTCCTATATAGAATTTTTTAATAATTCTGTACGTTCAGTCTACAGCTCTAGACAGGTATAACAGAACTTTATACATAACAATACACAGGATTTAGTGATGATGTAGGTTGAATCTGTGGCATCAAAGAAAAATCCTGTTTGATCATTTTCGCTTCTATGCAAGAGACGACAGTAATTGTTTTTTTTTTTTACGTTCTGACATTGAAATTTTAGTTTTAAGAGAAGATAAATTCTACAAATTTGATTAGTTTCAACTACATAAGCCACATAATTTGTGAATAATGCCGACATTTATTAGACAATACTAAACACTTAAACAGCAGATACTAGCTTCAAACTAGTATTAAATATCACAGTTTAAAGGGATTATTAACTGATACACGATGTAGCGAAACACTGTATTAAATTACGTTCAACAAATTTACCTGTAAACTACGCCACAATTATTAAATTAAGCGTACAGCAGCGTAACCACGCATTGTAAACGTTATCTGTCTGTTAAATGGGGGCATTTTGGTGTAAAAACGTGTTTATTATACAAAAACAATAGATTAAATGGGTAAATTAGTAAATTAATATTATAAGAATATCAAAATAAGTAACAATCTCCTCATGAAATACTCGTATAGACATCACCTAACTGTTAAATGACTTCTGACCTGTGTTCAGTAACACGTCACTGGTCTTTAATATTTTTAAATGTTTAAAATACGGTTAACTTTAACACCACGAAAAAATTGACACTTTGGCAAAGAGTTTTGTGTATTAGGGCCATCGATGACATTAAATTTTGGCGGTTAAAGGTCAAAGGGGTGGGGAGATAGTAGTAGTCGCGTGTCACATCTCGAGCAGGGTCGGACTTGACGAAGACTTTACTGGTTATTAGCATTTAAAATGTTTTATAAAACTCATCTTCACCCTCAAAATTAAGCTTTTTGTCACTTTATATTAAATTAATAATATAAAACGTTTTTAAAACAAAATCTCCTAACAGATGGCGCCACATACAATTTAACATTTTTGCCGGGAAAGTTATGCAACTCGTTGTTGGAATTTCTGTTTAGTAATTTATGAAGACGATCCGCTTACGAGTCTTCGCTTTCGTTTTACCGGGAGAGTGCTATTCGGTAGGGCGCTACATTGAGGTTTTTCTTCAACTAGTTGTTCACTTAATTAAATTTAACTCACTTAAAAACACGCTCACAAACTTTAACTAACTTTACAATTTTTACAACTTTGGCATGTAGAACTTTGGCCTTTAAACTCGTGTAAAGTAAATATATCCATAGAATGCTGATAAAAATCAATTTATTTTCACTATTTTCACTTCTTATAATCTAAAAGTTTTCCTTTCTAAATCAATAGAATCGTATATAAATCAGTTAAAACTCCTGAAAGATAACATTATCGATTCACATAATTCGATTTAACTCTCACTTCTTCTGTATATGTATAGGCTTATAAGTATCTCCATTAATATTCAATAAATTAATTGGTTTCACTGAATTTTTCTATATTTTTGTAATAAAATTAATAAAAATTAAGATAAAAACAAGCGAATAAATTTAATTTATTTTATAATTTTTAATAAGAAATTTATATTGAAGTGAATACAATTTCGTGTATTAAAATTTGCAATTTTAGTCGACTGTTTTAAAACTACTATATTATTAATAATTTAATTAAATTTTATTTTTAAATCAATTTTTTGGTGCAAAATTTTAAGTTTTTTTCAGTAAATGTTTGTTTTTTTCTGGAAAGTTTGTATTTTTTCTGGATTCTTGTATCTTTTCTGGGGGTTTTTCTGTGTTATTTGTATCTTCTCCAGAGTTTTTCTGTATTCTTTGTATCTTTTCTGGAGTTTTCTTGTATTCTTTGTATCTTTTCTAGAGGTTTTTCTGCATCCTTGTGTCTTTTCTGTGGTTCATTTTCTGAATTCTTTTAATCTTTTCCGGATTTTTTTCTTGAAACTATATTTTTCTGGATCTTCTATATCTTTTCTGGTGATTTTTCTACATTCTTTGATTCTTTTCCGGACTTTTTCTGGATTCTTTGTATTTTCTGCATTTTTTCTGAAACTTTCTACTTTTTCCTTTTCTTCTTCTATTAAGCGGTGTATTAAATATTCTCGTAAAGTTAAATTGTAAATCTCTTACAATTTTATAGTGAAGTTTAAGTGAAAATTGAATTTTCTATCTGTTTTAAAGTGGATTTTTTTATTACTTACAATTGGATTTAATTCGGAATTCTGTATTTGATCGTTCGAAAGTTAATTGTTTTTCTTTAAAAATAACAAAAAAAACCAACTTAAATTAAAAAAATAGTCTTAAAATATATAAAGTAAAATTAATTTTTAAATCAAATTTATTAACAAAAATTAAAACACGATGCTTTGCAGTGAAGCATTCGCGTTAGTAGCTGCTTTGTAGTGAAGCACAGAAAAAAACTTACCATTTTGTTGGAGAAATTAATAAATTTATATCTTAAAATAGTTTCTATTTTAATTTAAACTTTGTTAACTAATTTATTCGAATTCTGATTGGGCAAAATATCACTAATGGATAATTGTAATTGGTCCAATTAGCTGTGTAATTGCTGAACTTTAATACAAGTAATCATATAACAAATCAAATAAGAATTATATTCTCTACTAATTTTAGGAAAATTTACCAGATAAGTTCTTTTATAAATTTAACTGTGAGAATTCTTTACATATATATACACTTTTACGAACATATTTAAAATTATATTAGAAATATTAAAGTAATTAATTTCCTCGTGTTTAGATGAAATTTTATTAATTCATTTAAAAATTACTAAGAATTTCACTTGTATAAAGGGTGCAGATTAGTATATTGTCATTAATATAACAGTTTATTATAATATTTTATTAAAATGTGGCCACATGTTAAGGTATATAAAAAATTCACGTTTACATCTTCATATTACAGTATCCAATAATTATTTTTGAGTTTATTAAATAGTATATTTTAAATAATATTTTCATAATTTAATAATTTTAATATAATTTTAAAAATAATTAGTCATATATTGGGGTTGTCCTTCATTAAAATTAACTTTATTATTATCTACTAATTAATCTAGAGAAATTTTGTAATGTTTATTTAGGTTATTAATAA